CCCCGCCACCCCGGCCCTGGCGGCTGGTAGCAGCGCCGCGGCCCCCTTCCCACACGGGGACTCGGCCCTCAACGAGCAGGAGAAGGAGCTGCAGCGGCGGCTGAGGCGCCTCTATCCGGCCGTGGACGAGCAGGAGACGCCGCTGCCGCGGTCGTGGAGCCCGAAGGACAAGTTCAGCTACATCGGTCTATCTCAGAACAACCTGCGGGTGCACTACAAAGGTACGGGGCACGGTCCCAACCCCCGACCTCCGAGGCGATTGTGCGTGCGTCCCGCCGCCCCGAGTGGGCGCCGCGGTCCGGAGGAAGGTCCGGGGGTGCGGGGCGAGGTTCTCAGGAGAGGACGGCGAGTTCGATGCCCCCAGGTGGGAAGGAGCTGGGAATCCTGGGCCGGCCGGGAGGACACCTTGAGGGAATCCGGGGTGACGGGACGCGACTCGCTTTCTGATTGCCCTGTAAGATAAATCTTGGGGCTTGGGTGGAGGAATCTATGGACTGGAGTTGGGTTACATTGTTCTCCAGGTGGTGGGTCAGGCGTTCTCCTCTTACGTGTGTGTGGGGGGGTACGATTCTGAGATACGATTTCTAATTAAGGGAGAGCAGGGATCCATAGCGGGAGGAGTAATCAGTGGAGGATTTTGGCCAAAATTAGGCCAGAGATTGTCTAGGGGGACAAAAGGACAGGGGCCCAAGTTTCATAGCAGTGTATCTTACCAAAAGCAGCGGTACGCGTCTTAGGGGAGCAGAAACCTACTCCTCCAGGTTGAAATAAATGCCCTATATTTCCGGGTTGGTTTTATATGAAGTCTGGTTGAAAATAAGGATTTTTTTAAAAGTTGCCTAGTCTTTTTAAAATTGACTTGTATTTACACCTGCAATTAAAAACATTAGGCTTATGTTTGTTTACCCCCACCTGCCTACCTCCCCTAGGTCAAAACAAAGCTTTAAGTAAATCAGTTCTGTATAAAATTATAAATCGTAATAGCGATTTTTGAAATGTAGCTCAGATTAATGTCATGCGTCAAGTTTACTTGTGTGGAAGGGAAAAAAATTCAGGGTGTCAGTTAGTCTGGAAGCAAATCGGTGTTTTAGGCCCCAAATCTAAAGCAGGAGCTTTTGCATTCTAAGCAGCCTCATTTTGATTGGCTACAAAGGGAGGGTCTTGCTCAGATCCTAGTGGCCTGTATGTAGAAGGTATAAACAGCCTTGTGGTTACATTCTTAAAAGGACTGAAATTTGAGAAGAACCTTGATAAATAAGTTAGGGTTTAATCGGAGTGGAGAATGGCAATAGAAATCTACCAGATGATTTGGCTGCAAAGAATCACGCGCAAAAATAGGCCTTGTTGAACATTCCTCCTTTTTATCTTTGCTATAGGTCCAAAGGAGCGCTTTCAGTTTAGAATGCTCCTTCATCTAAATGGATGCAAATTTCGAAATAGCGGATCTTTGCTTTTTTCTTGTTAGGACATTTTGTTAATTCCTTGTAATTTATTTTTAAATTTGGGTGAACAGTGCTGTGAGGAAGTGTTTACTTCTGATACGGCTACAGAATGTTTTTGTTGGACTTGACAAATTTAAATTTGTGGTTGATGGTATTATTGGCTTATAAAATTAGAACCAGTGTATGTGGAAGATTATTAAACAAAGCCTCCTACTAGCTTGCAGTGGTCCTGCAGTCATTTGTGATTGTAGGTATGTTACAAGGCCACAGTTTCTTCCTGAGTGCCGGTTGATTTGAGCTCGATGGTGGAATTTCCATGTTATCTAAGGCCCGTTTTTACAGTTTATTTAGAACTGGGGCATGCCTTAGTTCTACTAACTTCTTTTACATAAAATTAATGATTCGGGTCAGAGAAAAGTGCATGTTTAAGTGCAGTTGGTTGGAGTTTAGAATATTTATGACCCTGCCGTCTCAATTAGTCTTCCTCTTGGCCTTTTTACTACTTTCTGTTGTGTAATCCTGAGATTCTCTTTCTGGAAATACTGTATCACTCTGTTATAAACTATTACTTCTAGAAGAACAGATTTTGTTGTCCTTATTTTTTCTCTCTGTTTTTAATCTCCCCTTTGTCTCTCCCTTACCTCTTGTCAGTCCCTTTACCACCTCCTCCTCCTCCTCTTGTCTTACTATTTTAGTGTCTCTGTGTGTTTTCTGTTGCCATTAGTTTTCTTTGTGTCTTCTGAGTGGACCCCACCAGATGTACTGGGTAACTGACTCAGGAATAAAGGGGCAGTGTCATAGGTGATGGATAATAAAACTTTGAAATCATAAAGTAAGAGTGGATTTTTATTTAACCTGTCATTGCTGCATTGACTTTAGCTAGCATTATAAGATACTTTTTGAAATCATTAAAATAACTACTCATAATATTTTTGTGAATTACAGAATTTCAAAAGATTGACCATAGTTATTTTTCAGAGCGATCCTTTTCCATACCTTTGAAATAGAAGGATCATAGTTTCTTCTGTTTTGATCATAGTTTCTTCTGTACTTGTTATTCTTCTAAATTAGAATAGCTGCTTTTAAAAATAGAATTGTTCCTTGAATGATTTCGAGGGATTAATGTTAAACAGTGCCAGGTATACACATACAGTTCATTGGATTGCAGAGGAGTAGCAACATATGTACAAAATAGTGAGCTTTAAAATTTTTTAAAAGGCATTTACTTAGCAGTCAGATACCAACTATTGAAACAGCTGGGGTTGGTCACTCTTACTTAGTAATTCTTGTGAGTAAAAAGTACATAAGTGACAGGTTTGCACTTAGTTATAATACTTTCATTCTACTTTAAAGCTTTTAATGAATATGACAGTGGATTCATCTAGCCCAGATGTTTCAATTGCAGTTTGCATTTTTTATTTTTGAGGTTACTTACACTTTGGATACTTTACAGAGCATTTTGATACACACTAGTGGATCTGGACAGGGTTGTGAGTTGTTATTTTAGATTTGAGAGAGTGGGAGCACCTAGATGTTAGATCTTTCCTAGTCACAAGTAAGCCAGGACTGGAAACTTAATTTTCACCGACTCCAGATGTAGTGCTCTTTCCAGTACACTGTGTTACTGTCTCTTTCAGTTTTCATGTCCTGATTAGCTCAAATAGATGTTCACATCAGGAATTTTTGGAAAAATACTTGAGTTTTTTGTAGAGTTTTCTGTTTTGTTTTTTTGGGTTTTTTTGAGACAGGGTCTTGCAATGTAGTTTGGGCTGGGCTTGAACTCACTATGTAGCCCAGGCTGGCCTTGAACTTGCAGTGATCCCCCTGTCTCAGTCTCCCAAGTCCTGGGATCACAGGAGTGCCACCATGCCCTGCTTAGGAGTATTTGAGATTGAAAGTACTTCCTCTGAAGGGAAAAAAAAAGTAACTGGAACACTTAACACTACAGAAAGTTACATTGACTTTGATGATTTAAGGTAGCTGGGGAAAAATGCCAGATAAATGAAATTTGAGAATGACAGGTAGCGAAGTAACGAATTGCACTTTTTAATTGAAGCATTAACAATATCTAACCTGGTTGAATTTTGGTGTGCCTAACTCCCTTCCCCTTTTGCATCCCAGGTCTTTAACATTTTCTAAATATAATTGTTATTAAATTTCTTCAGATTGAACAAATACTATAGCAAATACTTGATTGTCTGCAAGTGTAAATGCCTGTTCCTAAAATCCAGAAATTTAATAACTAAACTGAGCTTTTCTTAGGGACCCCTTTGCCAGAATTTTGGGAAATTAGCTTTGAAAGTGCCAGGTGTAATTAAGTGAATTTAATAATCATACTAGAAAAGTGGACGGGAGTGATACTTGGTGGAGCAGTTGCTATGGGGCACATAGTTCCTTAGAGCAGTGGGGATGTACAGCATGTCTCACCCACCGTTCACTCATTTGTTCAGCAGACTCGGTGTTTGCTTTGTGCCAGGTTCTAGGCAGTCAGAGGTGAGTGTGGTACTGGCCTTAACTCATGGAGGCCAGACAACATCAAATGGAGTAGAAAGGGAAGAGTTATAAAGAGCCCTGTAGAAGACAGGAGGAGTATCTCCCCCAGGCC